TACAAAATAGAAAGTAATGATTGAAATAAGAGAGGTTTGTTTAACTGGCTTGTGAATTACCATATAGAATTATAGTTTTCAGAGCAGTTTGGTGAGTAAAATTGTTTTATTTGATCCTCTCAAACACTTTTAAGTTAGACCAATAATCTATGCATTGGTTTTATAAATATGAGAAAGTAAGTATATTGATACCAACGTTGTATGAGTTTTATTTCTATGCTTTTTAAAACCTACCTTGTTATAATCAGGGGAGCATGGAAAGAATCATAAATATTTATTATGCAGGGCCAGCAGATGGCATAGTGGTTGGGGTGCTGAACTCTCACATGGTCAATCACAGTTTGAGTCCCAGGCCTAGTGACTTGAAACTCGCACCAGATATGTATGTGTATATGCCCAAAATCTCAGGAGAAGAATGACGGAGAAGGGACTGCAGCATGGCCAACCCCCCCAGGGGGTGATTTCTTACTTTCCTTCTCACTGTCTCTTTCCAGCAAGCGTGTACATTCTGTGGCAAAAAAAACTTTTTAAAAATTATATTTTATGCTTGCAGCGAGCAGGTAGCATGGTGGTTAAGGCTCTGTACTCTTACTGACCATGGCTCAAGTCCTGAACACAGTGGCTTAAAAATCGCACCAGGCATGTGTGCACACATGCCCAAAATCCCAAGAGGAAAATAGAAGAGAAGGGATTAGGGCATGGTCATCCCCCTAGGGGATTTCTCATTTTCCCTCTCTCTGTCTCTTTCTGTCTCTCTCCAACAAACGCACGTGCACTATGGCAAAACTAAAAGGGGCCAGCAGTTAGCGTAATGGCTATGTAGCTGGACTCCCATGTAGTCGACCGCGGTTCGCATCCCAGACCGGTGACTTAAAACTCACGCTGGGTGCGTGTGCATGCATGCCCAAGATCCCGAGAGGAGAATGAAGGAGAAGGGAATGCGGCATGGCCATCCCCCTGGGGGGGTGATTTCTCATTTTCTGTCTCTCTGTCTCTCTCTGTCTCTCTGTCTTTCTGGCGAGCACATGCACCCTATAGCGAAAACCTCTCCAAAAGAAGAAAAAAAATTTTTTTAAGTGTGTGTGTGTGTGTGTGTGTGTGTGTGTGTGCTTAGTGTGACTGGAGTTTCCATTGGAAAAGACTTGAGACAAAACTAAGGAAGGTATACACCTCTATAATACAAATGCAAATGAAAAAGATGGTATTAGAATCTTTTCTGATTTCTTCTTCATCTATAGCTGTTATGGTGGTTGCTACATAAATCTGACTTAACAAGACCTCTTATGAAAGAATGAAACATGTGGTATGCCTTTTTATAAGCCATGGTGCAGAGTTCAGTATAGAAATGACAGTTTTATGATTGTGTGTTATAAATATGACATAAGAGTTAAATGGTCTTGCTTAGACAGTGTTTTCTGGTAAATTGATTCATAACTTCTTTATAAGTGTTTTTTTCTTTGTATATAAGAACCATAGGTACTATATCTGTAATGAAACATTAGCTAGTAATGAAAAACATGAGGCTTCTCCTTCGTTTACAGTATTATAGAGGATACAAACATGTTAAAAAGCAACTGTAAAGCCCTTGACAAAATGTTAACAAGTTGAATCTACAAGTACATCATGACCAGAATTTCTTCCAGGAACACATGGTTGGTTTGATGTTAGAAAACCAATCAGTGTAATTTGCTACATCAACAGATTAAATAAGAAAAACCATATGTCCATCTTGATAGATGCAGAAAATGTATTTTACAAAATTCAACATCCAGTCATGATTTGAAAAAGAAAACTATGAATAGAAAAAAACTTCCTATGGGAACCAGCAGTTAGCATGATGGCTATGTCGCTGGACTCCCATGTAGTCCACTGCGGTTTGCTTCCCGGACCTGGTGGCTTAAAACTCATGCCGGGCACATTGCGTGCGTACCCAAGATCCCAAGAGGAGAATGGAGGAGAAGGGATTGCAGCGTGAACAAAACAAGAAGATCTTTCATCATTCTATTCAGCATCATTCTGGGTGGTTCTAACCAGTGCAGAAAGGCAAGGGGATGTGGGAGAGATCCTGTCTGTATTCACAGAGAAAATCCAAAAAAAGTTATTAAAATCCCAAATTTACTAAAAACTCTAAAGGAACTACTAAAACTGGTAAATTGATTTAGAAAGATCACAAGATACCATGTTAGTATACAAAAGCACAACTTTCTTCACACATAGAGATTCTTATTAAGCTTCACTGTATTATTAATAATTATGTAATTTTTAGAAGCAAATGTGCTGGATCACTTTGAATTTTGTTAAAAAAAAAAGCACTTTCCTTTAAAAATCCCAATTACTATTGGGTTGTTAGAAAAGTCATGATATACTTTTCTTTGTTTTTCTATGCAAAAATGTGTCATGACTTTTCTGACAAGCCAATATTTGTAATAGCTTCAAAAATATCCTTATAGTGTTGGCCCAGGATAGACATATATCAATGAAATAAAATATAGAGTCCAGAAATAAACACACATACGTATGGTCACTTGATTTTAGACAAGGGTTTATATGCAGATAGTGCAATGGTTATGTTGCTGGACTCCCACATAGTCTACTGTAGTTCAAGTCTCATATGAGTCTTAAAACTCATGCTAGGCTCATGTGTATGTGTGTCCAAGATAAAACTTTAGGAAGAAAACATAGGAGAAAATCTTTGTGAACTTGGATTAGACTAAGATTTTTTTAGCTATAGCATATAATGCATAATCCAGAAAATAAAAACTTAATAAACTGGATATCCAGTTTTATATTTTGTATTTTACATTTTATATTTAGGGTTTTAATCAACTGTGAGTTATTTATAAATAAAATGTGAAAATTGGTTTTTCATTTTTGCGTAAGTATGTCCAGTTGTTCTAACATCATTTGATGAAAGACTATCCTTTCTCCACTGAATTGCATTTATTTATTTTACTATTATTATTAGACAGACAGAGAGACAGAAAACAAAAAATCTCCCCCTAAGGGGATTCCATTTTCTTCTTGGGATCTTGGACAATGTGGCATGGTCACACTGCAATCTCTTCTCCATTTCTCCATCCTTTTGGGATTTGGGCATGCATACACAAACACCCAGTGTGATTTTTCAAGATGCTAGCACTGGCATTTGAACCACAGTCAGACATGAGGGATCTAGCTCCTTTAACCACTAGACTACAGAGCCAGCCTGGCTCTGTGACCATGCCACATTGAGAAATGCTCCCCCCTGCCCCCCCACCTCCACCCCCACCTCTCTCTGGCAAGTACATATACCCTCTGGCAAAAGCAAAAAAAAACAAACAACTTCTCAAAACACACCGTTTTTAAGAGGTTTTTGCTATAGGGCACATGCACTCACCAGACAGAGACCAAGAGATAGAAAGCAAGAAATCACCCCTCAGGGGGGATAGCCACGCCACAGTCCCTTCTCCTCCATTCTCCTCTCAGGATCTTGGGCACGCACTCACACGTGCCCAGTGTGAGTTTTAAGCCACCGGGTCCAGGACACGAACCACAGTTGACTATTTGGGAGTCCAGTGACATAGCCATTACGCTAACTGCTGGTCCCAACACACTGTTTTTAAAAAGTAAAAAAACAAACTATAGATTGGGATAATGTAATTAAAAACCACATATCTGATAAAGGACATTTATGCAAAATATGTAAATAACTTTAAATCCAATCATAACCCAGTAGAGAAATGAGCAAAATATTTGAATAGGCATTTTTACTAAACCTACACAGATGATAAATATGAAATGAAAATTTACTTAACATCATTAATGAAACCCCCCTCAGATGGACTTAAACAATGAAAGTGTTGGGTCTCGTAGGAAATTCCATAGAGAGATTGACATTAAGCAATTGAAACCTTTAATAAAGTTATCAGTGATATAGTTACTTTGGGGAATTTTAAAGGAAACTCTCACCTTTACCAAGGCAGACAGGCCTCTTCCATGGCCATGAGATAAATGCCAGCCCCAGCCAAGCTCTGTGCACCACTCTTATGTCCTGACCAGTGAGAACATTTCTGTCCCAGCATTCCAAGATGAGATCTAAAAACTCACTCTTATTGGTCTTCCCAGGTGTTCACCCTGATTTAGCAGTGACTATGGCCAGGAAATAGATTTAGATCTCCTTACTATAAATCTGAGCCCCATGCTCAAACTCTTGAGCCAAGAGTACTGTCAACTTCCTTCAAACTCAAGGGCTTTAGTGGAGGTAGAGTGACTTCACAAACTTAAGTAAGTAGAAATTTCCAAAAGAAGGAGGGGTGGATGATGGTGAATCAGACCTAGGGCCCACCATGCTCTATCATTAAAACCTCAGATGCTAAACTTGGGTTGAAGTCATGCTTAGTAACCCTTCATATCTCAGCCTTGTCGTCCCTCAGAAAGGAAAAAGACATTTATAAAGAGAAGACTAAGAACGGAAATTGAGAGCCTGTATGAAGCTGTCTATGCCAGTGTTTCCATATATGGAACTCTGACAGTCACGTAATGTGATCCTTGTTCCTTTTTGCTTTGAAACACAATTGAAGAAATGACTCTCTAAAAAGATAGCAATGAGTTGTTAGAAGTAAGGAAGTTAGTGTTTAAAAATACTGTAGAGAACCAGCAGATGGCATAATGGTTAGGTCACTGGACTCCCACGTAGTTGACCACAGTTTGAGTCCTGGACCCAGTGGCTTAAAAGTCATGCCGAGTGTATATGCGTGTGTACCCAAAATCCCAAGAGGAGAATGGAGGAAGGGATTGTGGTGTGGCCATACCCCCGGGGAGGGGGGGTGATTTCTCATTTTTTGTCTCTGTCTCTCCAGTGAACACACACACTCTATACCAAAAATCTCTCTTAAAAAAAAATAAATAAAATACAATAGATTTGAAAATTTTCCTCCCAGCAGCCTTACCAGTTATGCACTCTGCAAGAAGTACAGTGTCACGTGCCCCTAATGCTCTTTTCTGGCCTTCTCTTTGGTCAGGACGTGCTGATGGAGCTCTTGGAGCAGTGTGCAGATGGACTCTGGAAAGCAGAGCGTTATGAGCTGATTGCTGACATCTACAAACTCATCATCCCCATTTATGAGAAGCGCAGGGATTTTGAGGTATCTGAGCAGCTCTTTGTTTTTTCCTATTAGAGAGAACAATGGTATGGCATATCCCCAGACCTACTTATATGCAAAGAGGGCAAACAGGCTATGGGTCAGTGATGAGCAGGTGGTCTCTGGGGCCCCACGTTAGGGGTGAATGCGGCCTCTCATCCCATCCACAAAGGGTCATCAGCCATCACTCATACTCAGGACCCACCTCTCTGCAGACCTCCACATCTTAACTTAGAAGGATTGCCACTCTGGCATCCACTTTTGAAAGGTTGCCATGAGCAGGATTTTGTAGTTACTAAAGCACCCTTTTCTTTAGGGTGTTTTCTTGCTGTACCTGTGTGGGAAAACAGTGTCCCTTCTATCCTGGGCTGGGAGATCACCACATTTCTCTCACTATATCAAATGGAATAGCAAAAGCAAAGGCTGAAAATGGCATTAGGTCCACCTCCAACATCCCCTGTTAAGTTGAAAACAGGATTTGTTTATTGTAATGTGAAAATGCAATAGGTCTTCACAGGCAGGTTGGTCCTTTGGTTGGAAATAGTGCAATTCATAAATGAGCACTAAAAGTTACACAAAGAAAATACAGTTTTGAATTGTTTTTAACTCAAGTTCAAGGAATTTCCGGCTACACATTTCATTGTTATTTTTAAATTGATTCTACTCTTTGCAAGTGGGAAGAAATGGGTTTCGTTCTTCTTTCCAGAGGCTGGCCCATCTATATGACACGCTGCACCGAGCTTACAGCAAAGTGACTGAGGTCATGCACTCTGGCCGCAGGCTCCTGGGGACCTACTTCCGGGTAGCTTTCTTTGGGCAGGTGAGCCTCTTCTCTATGTGATAGGCTGTGCAAAGTCCTTTTTTTTTTTTTTCTTTTTTAAACTCTTAAAGTTATATCTTGTAAAGTTTCCAGTTTCCGTAAATGCTAATTTGATGAATTTGTCATGTTTAGCATGATTCTTACCCTCCTCAGTAAACTTTCTGCTTTTCTTTTTTTTCTTCCTCTCTTTTCTTTGTTACTTTCTTAAGGCAGCGGTAAGTTCTTCCTCCATAAGACATTCTTAGTGGCATCATTGGTACTTCAGTGCGATTTGCAAGTTTCCTTTTCAAGTCTGTATGTATATCTGTCTAGTCATTACAAACGCAACAAAAAAATTAACATGTTATTCCATTTACAGAAATAAATCACCTATTTCCTTGTACATCTATATTGCATGTTTTAAACCAAAATTAAGACTTTTTGGTTTCGTTTCTGCCTATGCATCTTTATCTTTTGTAATATTATATCTCCACAAGTATATTTACCGTTGTAATACTTCAGAAGCCCTACAAGAAAGGGCTTATTTAAATTTAACTTAAATTTTAACTTTCAAATCTCTAACATTATTAAATGGTATAAATTATAATCCATTTATTCAGGGTATGTGGTTTTTTATGAGCATTATATAACCTTCAATTTATTCTGTTATTGTCTCTTATAACTTTATAGCAATACCAGTTTACAGACAGTGAAACAGATGTGGAGGTAATTACAGTAAATGCTTGAAAAGCAAGTAATGTAGTAAAATTACATCTACACTAGTTTGATGTGGGTGTTTTTTGTTTCATGTTAGTTTGTTTTTGTTTTTGTTTTTTACATCTACTATGTTTTTTGCACCATTTTCTCTCATTTATTTTAGATGAGAAACTTATTAAAAATTTATTTAAAATATTAACTCCAATCTGGGCTTTTAAAATTTCAACCTTTTTCACTTCCCATGCAATTCTAATCCTTACTGTAGTCAAACATGATTGGTGCTAAAAACAGATGGTGGCTGGTGATAATGAAAGTATCTTCTGATATTTGGAGGTCTTTAATATTTTTTCTCATCAATAAAGCAATTTAAAATTTATACAAACTTTTTGCTAAACCTACTCCAGAACAGAATACCTCAATTTATACCGTAAAATCCTGTGTAACTGGGGTGATCAGGAGAAGGCATGGAATTGCATTCTGAAGCCCAGTCATTTTTCAGTGAGCTCTGCTTCTTGGGAATGTGAAACAGGCTGGACTCCTCATTAGACTTCACTGAGAGAACGCAGTCTTGAATCCCAGATCTTCCATTTCACTCAGTACTTAATGACAGCATTCTTGAATAAATTTGGAATTGTGTGTTTTTTCTTTATCTCTGTACCCAGACTTCACAATATCATTTTCCTTCCTATTCAGAAAGCCTGTTTAAATAGGATTTTAGAATCATTCCTTTTTTTTCTTTTTAACCCTTATAACAAAGGACCCTTCCTAGATAGTAAGCTTTGGGCTTATGTTCAGGGCTAGCTCTAATTGTGCTTTATGTCACAGGGATTCTTTGAAGATGAAGACGGAAAGGAGTATATTTACAAGGAACCCAAACTCACGCCTCTGTCAGAAATTTCCCAGAGACTCCTTAAACTTTACTCAGATAAATTTGGTTCTGAAAATGTTAAAATGATACAGGATTCTGGCAAGGTATGACCCAATTTGGATAAATTTCATAGCAATGTAATATTGTTTTGATTATGTGTGATTGATTATGTATTATATATTATACATGTAACATATTATAAATTGATAAATAAGTAACAGAAAAAGGCAGGAAAAAAATAAGGATGGTTGGTGTTGAGTGGCAAGTGTATTTTTTTTTTTCATCTTAATATCTGTGCTTTTCATTACATGTTTGACCTGAAGCTCCTGTGACCTGCTCAGCAGAATGAGTTTTTCTGAGTGAGGGTGCTGTGGATTAGAAATAAACATAATAATAAACATACAAAGTATAGAAAAGAGAGAATTGGGTGAGCCTGACTTTTCTGATGGAGGTAACTGTGACCCCAAACTGGTCCCAGGTTTATTCTTTTAAAGGTCAAAAAAGGGGGGGGGGAGAGGAAATGATTGTAAATCCAATTTTGGGGGGATGTTAATCAGTTGAAGATAGTAAGATAACTGGTACCATGTAGTTCCTCTGATCTTTTGGGGCCAGTTCTCATTAAACACATGTGACTTCCTTTAGACCAATACTACTCTGCAGTTTAAATAACAACAGGTAGCTAGCGTATTCACATGCAAATTGCCCTCATCCCCATGCAAATGACAGGTCACAGAATCATGTTTCTGCCTGTGGCTAAAGATCACCATGTTTGCTCCGATTGGCCACTCTACATATTCCCCATTTTCTTTTTCTCATTTGAGTCTGTGGAGCTGGATGGCTGCCCAGAGCTCTTACCAGGTGATTCTGCAGACTAGTAGAAAATATTTTGAGTAGGGGTTGGTTAGTTTTTGGACAATGGAATGCTAGGACTGAACAGAGTCTGGGGGAAGCTTTGAAGACTCACAGAATATTCCAAGGGGAAGCCACAGGTGGGAACTGTGGAAGGCAAAAAAGGAACTTTTGGTAAAAATTGCTTAATAAATTTTTTAAGTGTCCTGACAAAGTGTAATATAATTAACCACTGTCTTTTTTTTTTTAAAGGGGTAAAAGCTACTCTGCTAGAGGTATTAGCATTTTCAAAGGTCAATTGTTACATCAAAATTTATCTTGTGTCTGATTAGAGTCTAGACTTCAAAATGGTTTGTGTTAAGGGGGAAATAAAATCTTGATATAGCTTACTAGACTAGGCCCCTGTTGTACAGTGATAAACTACCTGTCCCTCAGTCCTGACCTGGAAACCTTTTTCAGCATCTCAAGTATATAATGTTAATCTGCTGATATGTCTGCAGTGTATATCCAGTTTGTGCGCCAGTGTCAGTATGCTCCCATGTTACAGTCAACATTTCAAATGTGATGGGTATTGCATGTTATGAATTCCTATTTGCCTGCTCTTCTGCTTCCTCAGACCAATTTGACTTCCACAAAGGATAATCTCCTCCAGACAAGTGTGCCTTGTCTAACACTTGCCAATCATTGTGGGTAAACGCAGATTGAGTAGCCGTCTCTAATACCGCAATTGTATATGGTGCCTCAGGACCATGTTGCGTGCAAGCCGTTTTTTAATTCTTTTAGAGTTTTAAAGGATATTGGCTCATGCTGATGCTGATTTTGTCCTGGGTTGTCAGGGTTGGGAGCCTCTATGGGCTGGGCATAATTTAATCCCAAAATGTCCTGTCCTATTATCTGCTGCAATGTGAAGTTCTCTGGAGGGAGGTTAAAGTGGGAGCTGTTCTTTCTGTCCTAGCACCATTTGATATGCAAGTAGGTTTTGACAGGGAAGCAGCAGCAGGAAGTGCTAGGCCAAAGGACAGCATATCCATTCTCCTCCAGCTCTGCAACTACTTTGGAATCTGCAATCTTCAGTCTAACTTCATTACCAGGGCTTACCTCTCTATCCTTTAGTTACAGACTCTGAGTTTTTAGGTAGCGGGGAGGTATAACCCTCCTGGGTGATTTTTAGTTACTTGGCAAGCTCCAGGTTCTTCCAGAGGGTTTTGTCTTAAGCACTCTTTAATTAAATTCCACAGGGAGAAGGAAAAAAGGGGAATCCTGCTAGGACTCTATGCTGTATATCATTCCCTGGTTTCTTCTCCAACCTTGTCCCAGGTCTCTTTATAAATTGTTCCTTATTGGGAACCAGCAGTTAGCGTAATGGCTATGTCGCTGGACTCCCACGTAGTCGACTGGAGTTCGCGTCCCGGACCCGGTGGCTTAAAACTCACGCCGGGTGCGTGTGCGTGCGTGCCCAAAATCCCGAGAGGAGAATGGAGGAGAAGGGATTGCAGCATGCCCATCCCCCCTGGGGGGTGATTTCTCGCTTTCTGTCTCTATGTCTCTCTCTGTCTGTCTGGCGAGCGCACGCGCCCTATAGCAAAAGACTCTCCCAAAAAAAAAAAAAAAAAGCGCCTAAACCTTATTTAATTCTGCTAGTTGGAACTACTGTGCAAATCTCTCACTTTCTGTCTCTATGTCTCTCTCTATCTGTCTGGCGAGCGCACGTGCCCTATAGCAAAAAACCTCTCCAAAAAAAAAAAAAAATTGTTCCTTGCTCTGAGAACCAAGGGCATGTTTCCTACACAAAATTCAGGAACTGCTGTAAGTGCTTGATACTAGTTTTACTTCCCCTAGTTCTTAACATATCAAACAACATTTGGACATACATATATCTGTCTTAAAACAATTATGTCCCCATGTTTTATACCAGGACAATAATTGAATCCATTCCTTCTCTTTATTATCTCCTTATTTTAGTCTATTATCTCCTTCTTCTACTCTGTTATCTCTTCTACTCTGTTATCTCCTTCTTTTACTGTTATCTGCTTTTATTCTGTTTTCTCTTTCTTTCACTCTTATTGGTTCCTTACCTTACTCAATTATCTTTGGCCTCCAGGAGTATCCACTCTCTGTAGTCTGACTCTGTAGTTCCCCGTACTCAGGCCACACGTTCAGGTACCACTTTGCTGGATCCACTTGGCAGAATGCATTTTTCTGAGGGGGTGAGGAATGTTATGCATTAGAAATAAACAAAATAAACACATAAAGACATACAAGTATAGAAAATCAAGGATTGGGTGGGCCCAACTTCTCTGATGGAGATAATCATGACCCCAAACTGGTCCCAGGTTTATTCTTTTAAAGGACAGAAAATAGAGAAGAGGAAATGGATTGCAAAGCCGGTTGTTTTGGGATGTTAATCGACTGAAGATGATAACTGACTCCATGTAGTTACTCTGATCTCTTGGAGTCAGTTCTGATGAAACACCTGTGACTTCCTTAAGACCTATACAGCTCTACAGTTTCAATAACAATGGGCAGTTAATGTATTCACATGCAAATTGCCCTCATCACCCTGCAAATGACAGCTCATGGAACTGTATTTTTTTTTTTTTTTTGAGAGAGAGATTTTTGCTATAAGGCATGTGCACTCTCCAGAAAGACAGAGAGAGATAGAGAGACAGAAAGCGAGAAATCACCCCCCCAGGGAGGATGGCCATGCCGCAATCCCTTCTCCTCCATCCTCCTCTCGGGATCTTGGGCACGCACGCACATGTGCTCAGAGTGAGTTTAAGCCACCAGGTCTGGGACTTGAACCATGGTCGACTACATGGGAGTTCACCGACATAGCCATTACGCTAACTGCTGGTCCCATGGAACTGTGTTTCTGCATGTGTCTAAAGGTTACCATGGTTGCTCAGATTGGCCACTCTCCACATGAAGCTAATCTTTACTGCATCATTTTAAAATTTTCTTTATAAAATAATTAACATCTAAAGGAATATGCTATTTTTATTATAGATATTGACAAACTAGAGATCATTGCCAAAGTTATGTATCCTGGTGTACCTTTTCTGCACATGACAGCATCTGGCATGTGACTGTACACTGTGACTGGATGGACGGACCAGGCACTGATCTCACAAGCACACACACCTGCAGCAAGGTGACTAACTTCCTGTTTACAGAGGCTGTCCACCAGTGTGTTCTCAGGGAGACCCTTTCTGAACCCACACTTTTTCCCCAGAACTGGGAAATATGTGTCCCATAAATATGTGTCCCATTCCCTTTAGAGTGTGGACAGAAGTCTGACTAGTTTTCCTATTTTTCCTTTTTTTTTTTTTTCTTAATAATTAACGCACTTCCATACTTTTAGTTTCTTAACTACTCAAAGAGGAAACAAAACGCTACACCTTACTCAGAGAGCAAACTAGCCCCCTGCTTGAGGAGCGTGGGAACTGCCACTTCCCGAAGGAGCGTGCAAAAACGCAACCGCCCCTCTGCCTGTGACTCAGCACAGAAACCGGGACCCCTTGCGCGCCACCTGAGAGCCCCGCCTGAGGAGTGCGAGAACCACACTCCTCAAACGCTGATCCTCGCTAGGAGGATAGCAACAACCTCTACTCCTGAGAGGAGAGCAAACCTGGGTTACCCAAAACAGATAGACATACAAGACAGACAAACAAGAAACCAGCTTAGAAATAAACCAGACCGTCTACCAAATTTTGGGAGGTCCGAGGCCAGAGGACTTACTGGATCTCCCCCGAGGAGAGGCTCAGAGCCGGAGAGGGCACAAAGGGCCCACTGCTGGTACCAGGCACCGGGTTCACAGCGTCCCCTCAGAAGATCTCCAGTTCATCTCTGGTCCCTTCGTGGTCGCCATCTTGTCGACGGAAAAAATATAACCAACTGTAAAATTAATAATTAATAATTAATGCGGTTTATTTCCAAGCCAACTGTGAGTGACCTAGGCCCAGAGAAGAGGCATACATGCCTTTTCTCGGGGTGATCATGTACATAGGTTCCTTTTATTTGCTTTTGAGATTGACACACAACATTTAATTAAAAGATTTCCCATTGGTCTGGCCCAAAAAGGCGGGACATGTAGAAGCGGGGACTTGTAGGTTATAGGTGGGTTCCACAAATTCTTAGGTCGATGATTGGAAGGGAAAATCCCTGTCTTAGTTAAAGAAAGGCTTAATCTACATCTCAAGGAAAAGGGAAGTTCCGTGTCTTGGGAAGGCATAAGCAAAAGAATACACTAACCGGTTGAAATATACATCTCAAAGATATATGCCAGGGACAGGAGGTAGGAAGAACCCTGTTAATAGAAAGTAAAATGGTCTGTTAATGTTTGTGGGCATGACTTCCCCAGTCCCCTTTTGAAAAGATTTTGGAAAAATAGGAAAACTAGTCAGACTTCTGTCCACAAGAGCATCTCTAGAAAGTCAAGTATCCCTCTGCTCTGTAAACCTCAGTCCAAGGTAGAGCTCCTGTTCTTTGTGTTGATAATAGCCTTTCTCCTCAGCTATACAAGACCTGCCTTTGTCTAAGGACATAATTTTAGAGTGATCCCTAGATCCATTTCTTTCCTGCCCTCTCCTGTGGAGTCCTCAGTGTCTGGAATCTGTTTCCATGGAATCCTTCATTTCCTCTGGAGAAGAATCCCCAGTCTCCTGCCCATGTGGGTAGGGAGCTTGGAAGGGATAAGGAGGAAAGGAGCTCAACATCTGCCTACTGGATTCTGGATGAAGAGGAGAAAGGGAGAACTCCCACATCTGACCTGCAGCTTCTCACTTCCCTGCCCTTGTTCTGCCCTGTACCTTATCTCTGCTTTCCATGGAGACTAGTGTACCCACCTCGTTTTTCCCAACTAGTTTCTCTAGAGATTGGCCTCTGCTTTCTTGTGGGATGGGGACTAGGGAAGGGAACCTGGAGTTCAAGACTCCAGATTGAGACTTAGGGCCAGCTGCCCTGTTTTCCACCCCACTTTCCTCAGTCACCCTAGTCCTGGGGTCAACAGATGCTGGTCTTCTGTATGCTTCTGAGGGGTACACTGAAATTTGTGCTATGCTCCTCTGTGAGAACTTTCTCCTCTCTACTAGTCAAGTGGCACACCACCTCTATGCACTGGTCTTCTAAAACCTCATTACAATCTCATCTACTGCTTTCTCAGCGAATTAATGGTTTATCCAAGGCAATATTATGCAAAAAGAAAATAGGAGTTTAGCAGTTTACCTAGTATCTTGTTAAAATTTTTTGCATGATTATTCATCAGTGTTATTGGTGTGTAGTTTTCTTTTATTTCTTTTTTCTTTCTTATAGCCATGTCTTGTTTTGTTATCAAGGTGATAGTGGTTTTATAAAATAAGTTTGGGACAGTTCCTTCCTTTTGAATTCTTTAAAAATAGTTTGAGGAGTCTTGGAGATAGCTCTTATTTTAAAGTTTTGTAGAATTTGGAAGTAAAGCCATCTGGTCCTGGGCTTTCTTTGTTGAGAGACTATCAATCTTGTCACTTGTTATTGGTCTTTTCAGGCTTTCTATTTCATCCTGATTCAGCCTAGGTAACTTACACATGTCCAGAAATTTGTCCCTCTCAACAAAGTTTTCTATTTTATTGACATAGAGTCACTTGTAGTATTCTCCCATGTTTTTTTGTATTTCTGATAAATCAATTATAATATTACCAGCTTCATTATTGATTTTATCTATCTGGTTCCTTCCTCTGTTTTTCTTGATTCATCAAGCGAATTAATGGTTTATCCATTCTGTTTATCCTCTCAAAAAACAACCTTTTGTTTCATTGATTTTTTTTTTGTATAGTTCTTTAATCCTCTATCTCATTTATTTCAGTTCTAATATCAACTACTTCTTGTCTTCTTTTATCTTGTGGAGGGGGGATTATTGTTGCTTTTCCAGTTCTATGAGATATGATGTTAAGTTATTTCTTTTCTTTTTTTTTTTTTTTTTGGAGAGATTTTTGCTATAGGGCGCGTGCGCTCGCCAGACAGACAGAGAGAGACATAGAGACAGAAAGCAAGAAATCACCCCCCAGAGGGGATGGTCACACCGCAATCCCTTCCTCCTCCATTCTCCTCTTGGGATCTTGGGCACACACGCACACGCACCTGGCGTGAGTTTTAAGCCACCGGGTCCGGGAAGCGAACCGTGGTCAACTACGTGGGAGTCCAGCGACATAGCCATTATGCTAACTGCTGGTTCCCAAGTTATTTATTTTCTACCTTTCTTTTTTTTCCCTTGTGAACACTAATGACTGAACTTCCCTCTTAAAATGCTTATGCTGCATCCTAAAGGTTATGGAGAGTGGTGTGTTCATTATCATTGATTTTAATGATTTTTTTTTTTTGGCCTTAATTTCTTCACTAGTTTGAAAATCATTCAGGAGTAAATTGTTTAGTTTCCATGCTTTTGTTTATTTTCAAGGGTTCTTTCTGTGGTTAGTTTAAGTTTAATTCCATTGTGGTCAGAGAAGATGCTGGGTATAGTTTCTCTACCTTTAAATTTATAGAGACTGTTTTGTGGCCTGTTACGTGGTCATTCTTTGAAAATATTCCATATGGAGATGAAAAAAAGTGCATATATTTGAAACAAATACAGAAAAATGTTAGCAATTTTTATGTAAGTGGCAGTATGTGGGTGTTGGTTGTGGGTGGGTTTTTTTTCCAACATTTTTACTAACGAAATGTTGGAAATTACAGTTTAGCAGGATTTGAGCATGTCCTTCAAATAGCACTAATCTTCCATTTTACTTATTTAATTAAGGTCAACCCTAAGGATCTGGATTCCAAGTATGCCTATATCCAGGTGACTCATGTGACCCCATTCTTTGATGAAAAAGAATTGCAAGAAAGGAGAACAGAATTTGAAAAATCTCACAACATTCGCCGCTTCATGTTTGAGATGCCCTTTACCCAGACCGGAAAAAGGCAAGGCGGAGTAGAAGAACAGTGCAAACGGCGCACCATATTGACAGGTACAGTCTCCCAAGAGTCTCTTCTGCACATCAACTCCAGAACCAAAATGAAGAATTCTCCAGAAGGGACATTATCATGGGAAAAGGGAGATGTGCAGTAGGTCTGGCTGCCTCCCTGTGGCTGAATCTAGGGAGAGGGTTCCTCCCCCACCTTACTGCCAGGCAAAGGCAAAAATTAATCACTGCAAAAAACAAAGCATCTGATGGTGTTTAGAAGCTTCAAGAATTAGGGCATGGGACCAGCAATTAGCATAATGGCTATGTCACTGGACTCCCATGTAGTCGACTGTGGTTCAAGTCCCGGACACGGTGGGTTAAACTCACACCGGGCGTGTGTGCATGTGTACCCAAGATCCCAAGAGGAGAAAGGAGGAGAAGGGATTGCATCATGGCCATCCCTCCTGGGGGTGATTTCTCTTTCTGTCTCTCTCTCTCTCTGCCTTTCTGGTGAGCGCACGTACCCTATAGTAAAAACCTCTCTAAAAAAAAAAGAATTAGAAGGGCCTTTCAAGTTTAGTTAGCTCCCCCCATTCCCCTTTCAGTTTAACATTTTATCTAGTGCTTACTTTTGATTATTCATAACATTTTTCTATTTATTAATACCTGTTTATATTTTCTTCTTCCACCAGACCAGAGTTTCATATCTGATGTAAGGTTGCTTACTCTTTTTTTTTGAGAGAGATTTTTGCTATAGGGCATGTGTGTTTACCAGAGAAACAGAGAAAGATAGAGAGACAGAAAGCTAGAAATCACCCCCCCCCCCAAGAGGATGGCCACACCACAATAATTCCTTCTCCTCTCAGGATTTTGGTCATACACGCATACATGCCTGATGTGAGTTTTAAGCCACCAGGTCTGGGACTTGAACCACAGTCAACTACATGGGAGTCCAATAATGTAACCATTATTCCATCTGCTGGTCCCATTGCTTACTCTTTTTAGAATCCAGTGAAAATGGTGGTTCTTATCTGTCCACATGCTTTTGCATACAAGCTTAAGACATTTCCAGACAAATTCTAACATCCATGTAGAGCCCTGTCCCGGCCAAGGCTCCAGGTCAGGAACCCACACAGGCTCCAGCTAGTGACTGCTTGGCACTTTCAGGCTGAGTGAATTAATGGGGCATGAGGCAGGATTTCTTCCATCTCGTGGCTGACAGTATCTGATAATGACTACCCAGCTTCAGCTTGAATTCCTCCAGTATCAGGAAGCTCGCTGCATTCTGAGGCCACCAGTACAGCTGATGTAGTTCTAGTGGTCACTTTGACACCATTTAACCCTTGATAACCCATTCTCAGAAATGTGTTTTGCATCATTGCCCAGTTACTTTTTATTATTATTTTTTTTAGAATTTTTTGTTTTGTTTTTGCTATAAGGCGCATGCAGAGAGAGACAGAAAGCGAGAAACAGAGAGAGACAGAAAGTGAGAAATCAGCCTCCCAGGGGGAATGGCCACGGCGCAGTCCCTTTTCCTCCACTCTCCTCTCAGAATCTTGGGCATGCACGCACACGTGCCTGACGTGAGTTCAAGCCACCGGGTCCAAGACTCAAACCATGGTTGACTACATGGGAGTCCAGTGACATAACCATTACACCAACTGCTGGTCTTCAGTTCCTAACAAGGGTAGACTCGTTTGGGAGTGATTTTTACCTCTTTTAAGAGAGCTCGACTCATCCATTCTTAGGTTTGTGTCAGCAACATAACCGGGATAACCTAAATAAAATGCTTCCTTGACTAAAAAAAACATTAGTGGGAGACCTGTTTAGAGTATGAAAATGCACCACTTAGGCACATTTTCCAGAATGGCCTTATTAAATAAAACCAGGAAAATGCCTAGAGCCTCCCTAGAAATCAGTATTGTCGAGTTTCCCCTCTGGGCGGTAATGTGTCCTCGTGGGACATGATAATTACGCATCATCATACTAAGTGAAATGAGTTCTCAGAAGGTGCTGCATTTCAGGTGATTCTCAGCCTTCATCAGGGAAGCGCACGCTGTACATGGATGAATTGTATGGTATGTGAGTGGTCTCAGTACAGCTGTCAGCCACAACAACGAAATATGGATCAATATAAAAATCCATAACGGTATATTACAGGGAATTACTCTATCTATGAGGGAAATGAGATTAAAATTTAATTAAAACAACAGCAACAACAACAACAAAAACTACATTCTTTTTTTAAAGAATTATTTAATTTTGGGACCAGCAGTTAGCATAATGGCTATGTCAGTGAACTCCCATGTAGTCGACCACGGTTCAAGTCCCAGACCTGGTGGCTTAAACTCACTCTGAGCGCGTGTGCATACGTGCCCAAGATCCCGAGAGGAGGATAGAGGAGAAGGGATTGCGGCATGGCCACCCCCCCTGGGGGGTGATTTCTCACTTTGTCTCTCTGTCTCTGTCTCTCTGGCGAGCGCATGCACACTGTGGCAAAAACCTCTCAAAAAAAAAAAAGAATGATTTAATTTTATGATTATTATTATTTTTTTAATTTGTTATCAGGCATGTGTGCTCACCAGAGAGAAACAGAGGAGGGGTGGATGGGAAGTGAGAAAGCAAGCTGCTAGGTCTGGGACTCAAACCTTGGCCAGCCATGTTGGAGTCCAGCACCTTAACTATCACGCCACCTACTGGTCCTAAGAGCCTACATTCTTTTTTTTTTTTTTTTTTTTTTAACCTGTCTCAAAAATGTTCAGATGTTGTGAGTTAAAAAAAAAGAAAAACAGCCTTTTCCAAGGGCGACAAAGTGAAACTAAGGTCAGAAGGAAGCTGGACGTGGGCTTCTCACTCTTGAAACTCTTGCTCCAAAACATGGAAGTGAGGAAAGAGGCCCTCAAGGACTGGGAGCGACTGGCACATCAGAGGGGCTTCACTGGTAGGGTGGGTGGGGCTGCAGCCTACCCCTGGTCACTGGATTGGTTTGACTGGACTCCAAATGCAAGTCAGTTGACATGCTTCTTGTGGAGGCGTTAAATTAAGAAATGACACAGGGAGCCAAGGGTAGCTTAGTTGGTTGGATTCTGACTGACAGTCAGGAAATAGTCTTTATTTTGTGCGACCATAATTTCATTTTTCTTGGAGCTAATTCGAAGGAAGGTCAGGTTGTTCTTTGGGTCAATTTCATGCACGGTGCTCCGTGCCTTCAGGATGAAGTTGTGCATGAGGTCGGCGTACTGTGTGGTGGTGGGGTTATCCATAGTGCTCTTGATGGGAATGCCTTCTGTGTTCACCACAATGATTCCCTGCACTCCTTTCTGGCTCTGAAGTTTTGCCACCTCTGCCATCTTGGACCGACCTGGGAACTCTGTTTCACCAACATAGCCCAGGCCCCCTCCTTTTCTCTAAAAGCCTACATTCTCAAAGAAAGTGTTTCTATGTCTATTTCTAGAATAAAAGAACTTACGTAAAGCAGAAATAATATTGCCCTCACGATCTTTAACCTCTCCCCCATATGTGAAAGTGTTATTTTTCTACTACACTTCAGTAGCAAATTTTTATGAACAAGATAACTGCACTTGTATATAGAGTCATTTTATGAAAAATATTAGTGTTTATCTGTACAACTGTGAATGTACTTTTGATGGTTTAAATCAGTGGTTACAAAGGTTGTTCCAGAATCAGCAGCTTCAGCATGCTCTGGGACCTTGTTAGAAATGCACATTCCTGAGTCCCACTCCCAGACCTGCTGAATCAGAAACGCACTGGGTGGGGCCCAACTATTTGTGTTCAATCAGCTCTCCAGGTGATTCTATATGCTCAGTGAGAACTGCTGTTTTAAATAAACCTCGTTCACTGCTGTGTGAAGGTCAGGATTTTTTATGGTTGTCGGTAGGTAGCACACTGATTCGTAAACAGTTCCCTTGGGGTGTTTTCCCTGGGCAAATTTCGTCCAGGGTTATTAGAGTTTATGGTTTCATTATAGAACTATTGCAGATTAGATAAAGGACGTGAGCAAAGCTCTGAATCTGCCAGAACGCAGGAACAAAGAGTAATAACTGCGGGCAGAGGCAGAGTAGGCACACGTGTCGTTGGCTTGCACACGTGTCGTTGGCTTGCACGCAGGTTGTCATCTCCTGCACGTGTTGCCTGTCATGCATGTTGTCAGCTCACATATGTGTTGTTGGCTGGCTTGGGAAGTAACCATCTTCCACAGCTGTGGTTCTGAGAAGGCATAGACAGTGGAGAACTCGGCCTGGGGATCCTGCAGCCCCAGGTCACAGCTTCATTGTGTGACCTTGGGCAGGTCATTTAACTTGTCTATGCCTTAATTTCCACATCTGTAAAATGAGAGTTATAACATCCCTCTCACATTAAATAATGTTGTATATTGTAACCAGTAGAGAATAGAATGTGGGGACCAGCAGATAGCCTAATGGTTATGTCACTGGACTCTCACATAGTCAATTGTTTGAGTCCCAGATTGGGCAGCTTAAAATTCACACTGGGCATGTGTGCTTGGATGCCCAAGATCCCCAGAGGAGAATGTAAGAGAAGGGATTGTGGTGTGGCTATCCCCCTGGGGGATGATATCTTGCTTTTTGTCTCTCCAGCAAGCACACATACACTAAAGCCAAAATCTCTCTCAAAAAAGAGAGAATAGAATAGAATGTATTTTGCTTTACTAGATTTCATCCATCATTGAGCTCCTTACCTTTTGGGATTGATGATGAGCGAAAGGAGGTTATAGTACAATAAAATACACACAGAAAAAGATGCAGATTTTTACCCCGAAAGATCTCAAAGTGTCACAAGGATAGTTACTGGTCAGCATAAAGATTTAGAGAAAGGATTATAAAAATGCCACTAAAAACATGTACTCTATATATTGTCTTAAAGATAGAACATTCTGAAGACTTTGAACGTGAGAGCTTTCCCTTAAGTTACTTATCCCTTAGGTGTTTCTTCCATGGCATTGCTTTATACCTGACCTTTGGCCTTCCAAGTTGTAGGAGAGCCCTGACCTTCTCTACCCTCCGAAGCTGGTAAAGGCACACTCCCCTGGACAGAGTTCCCAGTCTGTTGACAGCAATTGTGTGATCATTGGAAAAACCCATGACCACCCTCCAACCTTCTTCGCTAATAAATGTCCAGGCTGCCCCACAACCTGATCCCTCCTTCCCTCCTTTCATGGAGCTCCTGCTGAGGGGCCTCTTCCCAGCCACTGTTCTGAACTCTTCCAGACATGCCAAGACTCCCACTGGACTGGAAGCAAGCTCCTGCCCTCCACCTTGTGTTCATTCTAAGCAGGCACACAGTCACTCCAGCATCAGCCTTGCCTTCCTCATCGTCTTTCCTAAAAGGCGGCAGGTCGTTATGGTGGGCTGTTTATTAATAACGCAGTGGCTGGCTCAGTTGGTCTCCTCACCATCCATCTTCTGGGACCAGTGCGCTCCCCCCTATAGACTGTTCAGCAATGGTATGTTCATTTCTTCAGCCAAAGGCATTGAGCTCTGGCAGTGTTCCAGCTTGGCCTACTGACAAAACAAAGATCTGTGGCCTCCTGCAGCCTACATTCTGGCAAGAAGAGACAGACGATAGTAAACATAACAAGTAATATATGTATATTGGAGCACAGAATGTGTTTGGGACAAAAGTGAAAGGAGATTGGGAATGTGGAGTAGAGGGGAAGGGTTACAGTTTGAACAAGGTGACCAGAGCAGGCCTCACTGAAGAAGTAACATCTGAGACTTGGGAAGAGTGAGTGGGTCATGCAAGCATCTCGGCAGGGAGAAAGCTATCAGGGCAAAGGCCAGCGGAGTGGGCGGCCGTGCCTGGGGCTTTTGAGAACAACAGTATCTCTGAGTGCCTCTAATTGCGTGTGTTGCAACATGGCTGTTAGCCTTACGGAACATTTCTAGAGGTACCTTTTTGTACGAACAGGAATGTAGTAGCATTCCTGTATGAATCACATCAGTCAGTCCAAACAGGACACCTCCCTGCCTGGTAAGCAGCCATGCCTGGTTCCTGCT